GGCTTACCATCTAGCGGTAGGTTTCGGAAAGATGAAAAAACATATATTTAATACTTGCGCCGGGTATTTAATGTTCGGCTCCGCCCGAACTTAGACTTTCTTACTTGTTTTACTATTGAATACTATTGTATAGGAAAATTTTTTTTAACATATAATTGAATTATCTCAGAATGAATAAGTTTTTTTTCTAACAAATATTTTTGATGCCACATCATGACGCATTCAAAAATAAAAGAATATCCTCAAAGCACCCTTCCTTGTTTCACAAAAATTTAGAAGATATAGCTACAAATGTGCCTTTAAAATTATCCCATTTTCGTTTTAACGATAAACTGACAAACTCGGTCAGAACATTATTACCTATTTTGGTATATTTCTGGGAAAAATATGGTACAATTGAAAAATTGTATAGGGCAGCCATAGTTGACACACTAAAATTAGAGATTAATAGTAAATTAACTAAACTAAACTTTTCTTCCTCTCTTTTGTTTATTCACGAACACATGTTTGTGATCAGCAGACATTTTTACTTTTAAGTTTTCGTAGGTAAATTTTTTTCCAGCAGCGCTCTCGATTTCCCCCACTTCGCAATATTTTCGGTACGAGAACACTGCTATTAACTTGTTTATTTCTATAAAAGGAAATATTTTGCAAAATATTTTTGTGAAACTTCCATTCCGCTAAATGCAACGGCTTTTTTTTGAAAATTTTTGTATTACTAGCACTTAATAAGTATAACTTGTATACTTTTGTTGATTAACTTGGCGTTTTGGTGGTCTTTTCAAACAATTCATTTGCACTTATGTTTTCCACCTTCGACACGCTATGTTTTATATCTTGATTTTTATACAGCAAATCTAAAAACATATGTATGTATGTGTAACTATGTATGTATAGTGGTTTAAATGTTGGTACTTTTTCGGGTTATTTAGTACACTTTTTTTAGTCATTTGGTACAAAATTAAAAAACTCATTTATCATCCCTGTGCCGACCTCGCTAATTTAAAACAAAGTGTTCGGGAAGTTGAGCTCCGCGTTGCAAAAATAGAGCACACATTTGACAAAAGCAAGAAGATTAGCGGCGGTGCTCAAATACTGTCGCTGAGAGAGCACCTTAACGATTGCGAAAACGCACTCATTTCAAATGATTTTATTTTGAGTGGTATCCCACATGCCAAAGACGAGAACTTGAGTGAAACATTCTCGAAGCTATGTAATGCGGTACCGACTGACTCTCTTCCGGTTGGAAAAATTTTTCAGCTTAATAAAAGCAACACCAACAAACCTGCATGAATTATTGTAAAACTGGGAAATTCAGGTGATCACTCTTCACTTTTCCGTGCTGTAGCACGTTTCTGCAAAAGCAAGAGAAGACCGCTTACTCTCCGGGACATTGGACACGATGCAGAGGGTAAAATATTTATGCATGAGTGTTTGACAAAACAAAATCGTGAACTCATGAAGTTTGCTTATGAGCAGTGTTGCCGCGCCGTCTCAAGAAAATGTATCCCTGACCAAGCCAAAAATGTACCCAAATGTATCCAAGTTTTTTTTTTTTTACATATACATCTCATAATTTGTAAGAAAACCAAACATTTTCATGAAAAAGACATAATTTAACCCTTCCTAAGGACTTGGAATACTTGTGCATAAAATCAAACATTTGTAGTTTCAATTTATAAAGTACATTTTTTGTGCATAAGTATTTTACAAAGTAAATATAATAAATAGCAAGTACACTCTAAAAAGAGCATGTAAAACTACAACTGAAAAGTATCTATTTTTCAACAAGAATCTGGATCAATATACGTATAGGATGTTCAGTATTTGATTTTGAACTTGAGATCTTTAAAATATACACATAAATACACATATATAGAATGTTTAAAATTGCAAAAATTTTCAAACTACAAATACATTTCCTACTAATAATAAACATTACTATATTTTAAACATTTTATGTGTAAAAGTAAACAGGCAATGATTAATTTTATTACACGGCGTGCAAATTTGCACACATTAAAAGAGGAAACTGGTTACCTCTCTCAATATGCGCAAATAAACCAAATTTTTTTAGAGTGTATTTAAAGTCTTTTCAGTAAAATTCATAAAAGTTTCCTTAAATAAATCAAATTTAGTTTTTTAAACTACATTGAAATCTTCTTTATTTTTAAATTAACAAATGAAAATATGTGATATGAAAGAGATTACTACAGAAAGAGTATAATTTACTTTATATATATCGGCGTTTAAAGTACAAAACCGCGTATCGTCATTCTGCAAAACCGCGTAACTGACATTTGCTGCCAAAAATTGGATTTGCTCACACAAGCTCTTGGCTCAATCCTTATCCATTCGTCCTGAAATATACTAGCCAGAAATGCGATTGCTTTATAAAAAAATGAACCATTTTGAAATATAAGTGTTTTTACTCTCTAGAAAATAATTTATGCGACGTCACATACGCGGTTTTGCATTTTGTTGATACGCGGTTTTGTACTTTAAACGACGATATGTATATTAAGATCTTGCTTAAAACATCCTTTTAAGCTAATTAAAGCAATTGCGCTTATACCTATTTTGGTGAAATCTCTTCATATGTTCATTGCTTCGTTCACAAAAAATAAAATGCTTTAATTTTACGCTTAAGTAGCGATTCTTTATACGTTTAGAAAACGTAATGCTTTCTACCATCTTTAATGAAAATCGATTTTTGAACGAAAAAAACTTTGTATCCACATTTATACTGACCGGAAAAAAAGTATCCCGCAAAAATTCGTCTAAAAATGTATCCAATTGGATCTATTTAGATCCAAATGGCATCCCTGCTTATGAGCTGAAAAACCAAAAGCGACAAATTGCAAAACACATAATGATTCACACTTTTGTTATTAAGATCATTAAGTTTTCTTTTATTTTCCATAGTTTCTCATCTCTTACTAGTTTTGTTGTATTTTCGCCTGTACCCAACAGAACTCTTAGTTATAAGTTCCCCGTAAGTTTGCTTTCGCTCGCTTCTAAAATGCTTTTATGGATTGTGCAAAATAATGTACAATAAAGTTTTAAATCAGGGAGGCATCAAAGACAACACATTTAATATGGCCAGAATACTAAGCAAACAAAAGAAAGGACTGAAAATATGTCATATCAACGCACAACGCTTAGTTAAAAAAATTGACGAATTCAGATACATTTTTGAACTTTCCGATGTTGATGTGGTGTGTGTTTCCGAGACCTGGTTCGCAGCTTGCCATAGCAATGACTTCTTCAGTGTCAGTGGGTATAAATTACTTCGGCACGACAGGAATGGTCATGGTGGTGGCGTTGCTCTTTACATAAAAAATGGGCTGTCATATAAATTAAATAGTGTTTCTCCAATTACCAACACGATTGAATATATCTTTGCGGAGATCGTAACAAACTCGGACAAGATTCTTATAGGATATGTCTATAGGCCAAATAAAATAATAGACTACTCACCTTTCATTGAGTTTCTGGAAGACCTCACTGTATCGCACAGAAATATAGTCATATCTGGAGACTTTAATTGTGACTTACTTCGCAATAATACTTTTACACTAGATATGCAAAACCTTGGCCTTTTCGCCGTAAACACACTGAACCCTACACATTTTACCCAAACAAACAGTGCGCTCCTCGATATATTCCTTGTTAATGATTTGTCTAACGTCCTCCTCTATGATCAACTATCTGCGCCTGGCTCATGTAGTGCAAGGTGTACCGCAAGGTTCCGTTCTTGGTCCTATATTATTTATTTTATACATAAATGATCTACCTAAAGTACTTGAGCATTGTAGGATTCATGTGTATGCTGATGACGTGCAGCTGTACCTCAGCTTCCCACCTGACGCAATTAATACTTGCATCAGAAATCTTAATTACGATTTAGACCATGTCATTGGTTGGGCTTCTAAGAATGGACTGGTCATAAACCCCAGAAAATCACAATGCATTGTTATACATAAGAAAAACTTTCGGCTCGACAGCTTTGACAACGTTACGCTGAATAACTCTACAATACGGTACGTTGACTCCGTCAAAAACCTTGGTATAATTTTCAAAAGGACTTTAACCTGAAACAACCACATCTATGGAGCGATCGGGAAAGTTTACTTCTTGTTAAAATTTACCTGATACCGACACTTTTATATGGTTCAGAATTGTTTGCTAAGTGTGATAGTGTATGCAATAAGAAGCTTAATTTACTGTACAACAATATTTCCCGGTATATATACGGCATTAGAAAGCGTGATCACATTTCGAATTTTGCCACAAAGATTTTTTCAATTTCGTTTAATGATCTATTAAAGGTAAGGTGTCTCGTAATGCTGCATAAATTCTAGTCACGAATGAACCGCAGTATCTAAAGTGCCGATTACACTATACTCGGTCAACTAGATCTTCACAGCTGTTACACTCGAAATACAACACCTGTGTGCAAAAGCACTGTGCGTTTTAAAAGCGAGCTCTACAAATTTTATGCCTAATGAAATATAGATATGTATAACTAATCATTCCTTCTGCTGTTTTCCATATTACTCTATTCTTTCTATTTCTCGTTTTCCTATCTAAGATAAAAGTATTTATAAAATGCAAATATTTTCACTAGATTTAAATTGCTTTTTATGTAATTCTAAATGTGTCAGCGCTGAAATATAGGCAACGGCTGTTGCGTTGATGCTTAAATAAAATAAATAGGATGGTAACTTTCGGTACATCATCGATGTGCTTGGGTGTATGCAAAAATGCGCTCATTTTTCTGTTTTACCTTAAAAGCCGCGGGTAATTTTAAACTTTAAATTTAATAGGTTTTCCTATTATTATTACTCTAAGAGTAGACAAATGTTATGTAAAAAATAATAATTATGTAGTAAGATTTTTTTTTATTTCTCTGTACTATCCAAGTTTATATTTGATATACATTTTATCTAATACGTCAACGTAATTCTACAACTGTATAGAAATAACTTTCTTTTCAGATTCCAGTATGTCTACTACTAATGATTTATGATTGCAGTTGTTTCAAATAATAACGAATGTTTTGAAGGATGACATCAGAGTGATTTATGAAAGGATTGAAAATTTTTTGTCCGAAAACCGAAATGCGACTTATCATTTATCAGAAGACGAGAAACGGCAAATATCAGATTTGGTGTGTAAGATGAAAACAAGATGGGATTTAAGTAATAGGACTGAAGAAAAATTAAAAAAAAAATTACGATTGGTTAAGTAAGACTGTTAATTTGGAAAAACTTGATAAAAAAGATCTGAAAAAAAATTTATCCGCAAGTAGAAAATATTGAAAAGGATTGCAAAGTCGGCCAGAACTGAATTTTTCGGAATCATCAGAACGAACAAAGCGCAGAAAAACCGAATATCTACGAGCTACTGTTTCGACTAAAGAACTGTTATACTCAAAAACAGATTTTGAAAAAGTGTTGCGAGATATCTCGGAAGGAAGTCCAACCAAAGCTAAAATATTCAGAAAATCATTGGAGTATGGAAATTTAAATTTACCATTCACGAACGACGAGGCCTTGTCACTTTTTATTGAACGTGGGTTATCTCAAGGCAAATATCAGCAGTTGCGCAATGTACATCTACAAAAAAAATCAAAAATGCCGCCATCCTATAAAAATATACAAAAAGCAATGCTATCCGGCTGTAGGTCTTCGTTTCAATGAATACGAAGCATCAGTTACATTGCAGTCATTATTAGATCACACAACTGATCGTATTATTTTGTATTAAATGGAAGTTGTTCAATGTTTATCTGAAAAAATACAAGAAAATTTTACCTTAATCGTTAAGTGGGGATTAGATGGTAGTTCTGGACACAGTGAATACAAGCATAAAGCGGATGATGGAATCGAAGTAAGTGACGAAAATATTTTTTTTTCATCTCCCTCGTCCCCCAACAGCTTGTATACAGAGACTCTGAAACGAAGGAAATAACTGTAGTTTGGAAAAATCCTAGGCCATTCTCACCAAGATTTTGTCGTCCTATTGCAATTCAATGTGCAAAAGGGTCCCTGGACTTGGCTAAAAAAACAGTAAATGACGTGGAAGACTAGATAAAGAATTTAACACCATTTAAAACTACTGTTGATGGACAACTTGTGAGTGTAAAGTATGATCTTACTTTATCAATGATAGATACAAAAGTGTGCAATTCAATAACTGACACAATGTCTGCAATGCGTTGTTATCTATGCAACTGAACTTCAAGACTTTCAATGATATAGATGAAATGCTACAAAAAAAAGTTAATACAGACAACTTGAAATTTAGCTTATCGTCTTTACATTGTTGTATTAGATGCTTCGAATTTTTATTACATTTATCTTACAAATTACGAATTCAAAAATGGCAAGAACGAACTGCACGGGAAAAAGAGTCGGTCGCGAATAGGAAAAAAATCAATACAAGCTGCCTTTAAAACAGAACTGGGCTTCAATGTTGATATGCCGAAAGCTGGAAGTGGCACCTCAAACGATGGTAATACAGCTCGTCATTTTTTTTTTTTTTTAAATTTCGACAATCTGCGAAAATAACTGGTACCGATGAAGATATCATATATTCTTTATATATATTATACTGAAAGCCATCTCAAGTGGTCATGAAATTAATGCAGATAATTTTCGCAAATACACTGTTAAATTATCTAAAAAAATTGTACAAACTTACAAGTGGTACTACATGCCTACTTTAGTACATAAGCTTTTAATTCATGGCCCAGAAATTATACAAAATGCAGTTTTACCTATCGGACAAATGTCGGAAGATGCGCAGGGGGCCTGCAATAAGTTTTATTCCATTTATCGCCTCAGCTTTGCGAGAAAGAATTACAGACAAAAGACAATTTTTAAACGATTTTTAGTAGCCTCGGATCCTTATATTTCGAGTTGCCGAAAATTGTCAAGAAAGCCGCTGAAATCTCTTTCTGCAGAAACTATTGATTTATTATCGTCTCCATCTGTTGGTAGAGAAGAAACAGAGCAAGAAAGTGCAGACAGTAGCTCAGCGCCAGCGTCTGAGTCGGAAACAGATATTGATGTCAATGATCTTGAGGAAAACGGAAATTTCTTCATGTAATATTATTTTTTAATGTACTTTCGTTCATGCGATATTATCATATTATACTGTAATTCTATCTCTTATTTCATGTATTATGTATACTTGTTAATTGTAATAAAAATTTTTGTGATAACATCAAAATTGGTTTTCATTTCATTGATTTTAGTTAAAAGCCCTGAGTTATGTGAGGTGGGCTCGCTTGGGACTTAAAACCTTCTGGGTGATGCCATATAGCATTTACCATTTTAAATTTCGTTGTTCTGACATGAAATTTGTAATCAGCGACCCAAAAACCTCGGAAACGATACGTAACTTGAGTATGCTCAATAATACAAAATATTTTATCCCAGGGGGTGGTCGATAAGGGGTGAATTTTCGTACATTTAATATAAAATTTGTAATCAGCGATCCCAAAAACCCCCAATATTCGATTTTGGAGTGAATTACTCAAATTTTCGAATTTTGGCCAGCTTTTTGGCAATCGGCCGCACTGTGCGGCGGTACCTGCTTTATCTAGAGAGCCGGAAAGGACATTTAGCTAAGTAATAAAAATATGGACATATTTTAGCAATTATGATCTCATTTTCAATGAATGTTGTTATGTTTAATTTTTGGACTTTTTTAACCAAAACTATCGATAGTACTATCAATAGTGTCGACATTTTCGATAATATCGACACTATCGATTGTTGTGACCAGGAGCTTCCGCATTATTTTCAACATTCGCATTCGCATTAATCAATGCGGATCTTTTACGAAGGCGAATATTGAAGGAACCGATAATAACAGTTATTTTTTTTACGAGTTAGACTTAGCCAAATACTTTTTATTCGGAAATTAAAGTCCTTTCCGGATACTAAAAAACCCGCTTATCAAAATTAAACAAGTTTAGTATCAAATGAAATAGGACTGAAATAACTCTAAAACTGAAATGTCTAAACGGGAAAAGCCACCTACTGAAAAATATTTCAATAAAAAATGCTAATTAATTACCATTGAACAAGCCACGACCATCGACAGTTTTCCAGCTCTAGTGCGTATTCAAATGAATGGCTTCCTCGAAGCGGACTTACAATACACCTTCTAAAAACGAATGTGGATCGTAAGCTCAGCAACAGTGTGGCCGCGGGCTTGAGAAAAGTTGTAGCAGAGAAGAGACTTAAAATGTATTAATATGTATCACTTTTTTATTTTAAGTATCAAAGTATCAATATGGAATAAAACCAATAATTTTTGCGTGAAAATTTGTGGGTAGAGATGTGAAAGTGATTCTGAAATTTTTTTTTATTTGAATTTTTTAAGTTTTTATAGGCAAATATATGTATTTTTAAGCAATCTTTTTTTTCAAAGTATCTGACGAAAGTTGATGAAATTTCTTTTTTAAGTGTAGTGACATTAGAGCTATAAAAAATATTTTTATAATTTTGAATTTTTTTTTTAGTTTAAACATTAAAAATATTCAAGTTGCATTAAAAATTTGTCCTCAATGATGTTTTCCATTCCGTTTATATTTTCGAAAACTGCATTTATTCAAGAAAATATTTGTAAAATAAAATTTGTTAGACCTTTTCTGTTTTTGACTTACAGCAAAATTTGTCACAGCGCGCTCGCATCGTGAACCATGCACGCAACGTGTTCACTAGAAAGCGCGTACAGAAGCAACAAACTATTGGCTTATATTTGCGACTTTTAACGTAACTTCATATAATAATGATGGCTTTTATGGTATTTTTAAGGCATTTTTAGGTTAAGCTTGGTATGTGTTAAAATAATCTGATCAGGTCAATTTTTTTGGAGCTCACACGCAACTGTATGATTCTAGCGCCATCAGTCCACCATAAGTACGTTAGTTTTATGTCTAATAATTTTTTTTAATTGTGATTGTTCAAGTGTTCAACGTCGTACAGTGGTACAGCCCCATAAATTTTTTTTTTGCAAAAATAGGAGGAGTCAATGTTCCGTACTTGACTGAAATCCGAGGTCCAGTTGAGAAATTTTCACCCATGTATGAGTTCAACTGGGTATTAGTCCTGGCTTTCTAAAAGCTTGAATTCGGGAGAAAGTAGGAAATAATTACTACCTCCTCGAAGATTTATGTGGAAAACTAATCGGTACATATCACGCGAAAGATATTCGTCCTTAAAGGACTACCTCAAAAGAAAATTTCGTAATTCCAGCTAACATTCAAGTATAAAGAAACTTTCCTCTTATCTGGTTTTGTGACGGCTTTTTATTTATTTATTTATTTATTTATTTATTTATTTATTTATTTAGCCAAACAGTATACAAGATCTTATAGGCTACAGCAATTAAGTTAATAAAATGTAAAAATACCTTACTTATAAAAATTTATTAAAGAGCTCATGAAGTGATTTTTCGAACTTGAAATATCTATCTCGATGAGTTTGGCAATTCTGTTGAACTCAATCAAAGCTCTAGTAATTGGAGCATATTTAGCATAAAGAGCTCTACACAAACCAACATGGAAAAACTCGGAATTACGAAGAGCTCTACGCGGAATGTTTATCTGAATTCTTTGAAGAAGCACAGGGCAATCAACAGAGCCTCGTAACAAGTCAAAAACGAACGACAGCGACAAAATTGTTCTCCTGCTCTGCAATGACTTTAGATCTATTAATAAGCATCGTGCTTCGTACGTAGGTATAGGATACGAGAAGCATAAGTGGCGCAAAGCAAAATTTAAAAATACTTTTTGAATCCGTTCAATTCTTGCTATGTGGCCCTTGTGATATGGCGACCAAATGAAACAAGCGTACTCAAGCTTGGAACGCACAAACGCTGAGAATAAGAGCTTTAGCGTGTAAGGATCAGTGAAATCTCCGCTATGACGCCTAACAAAAGCAAGCATGCCATAAGATTTCGAAATACATAGATTAACATGACTTGTAAAAGCAAATTTCGAATCAAAAATTACTCCCAAGTCTTTAAACTCACTTACCTTCGCCAGAGTCGTATTAGATAAGTGATACGAAGTTTCAATGGTGTTTAAGCGTTTCGAAAACGTAATATGAAAACACTTACTTATGTTGAGTGTTAACCGATTGTTACTACACCAGGTACTCAATCTATCGAGATCTAGTTGCATCAATGCAGAGTCCTGAATGCTATTGATTACAGAATACATTTTAAGGTCATCCGCATAAAGCAAAAATCTTACTGCAGAAAAGCAGGAGCAGATGTCGTTGATAAACAGCACAAAGAACAGAGGGCCCAAGATACTACCTTGCGGAACACCTGAGCAGGCGACGAAAGGAAGAGACCGAGCGTTGTCAACTACCACCATACAGCGGCGATTGTGTAGGTAGGACTCAATCCAATTCAAAAACACCGAATGGAAACCCATCAAGGCTAGCTTTTTTATCAGAATTTTGTGTGAAATCCGATCAAACGCCTTGGAGAAGTCAGTATATACTGTGTCAACTTGACAACCCGACTGAAATGCTGCGGTGCAGTCATCAGAGAAGATAGCCAAATTTGATACAGTTGACCGTCCCGGAACAAAGCCATGCTGTTCTGGGCATATGATATTCTTGACAAAGAATAATAGCTTCTCCTGAATTATGCATTCAAAGAGCTTTGCTGTGGCAGAGAGTTTCGAAATGGGCCTATAATTGCCAATATCATTTTTATTGCCGCTCTTGAAAATAGGTGAGATCAGAGCTAATTTCCACGCGCCAATAAAAGAACCCGACGAAAGGGAATTGTTAAAAATTAATAAGAGTGGATAAACTAGGGAATCGCACTGCTTAAATATAATCGCAGACAAACCATCGACATCAGTATTTGACGAGGGCTTAAGTCGAGAAATGCCATTAATGACATCCTCAGATGACAATACAAGATTGCCGAAATTTAAAACAGGCTGAATGTTGAAGCAAATGTTGTCACAATTGTCAGAATCGGATACAAAATTGGCCAAAAAATATTCAGCAAAAAGGTTTGCC